TTCTTTCCAAAGAGAGTTTTAAGCTGTTTTAAGAAAAAAAACTCTAACCTAATGCAACACTTGATAATTTTTAAGCAAGGATCTCCTTTGTCATAAAAATACAATTTTTATCACAGAGGAATGAAAAAACCACAGTATTTGCTAATTCAGCATCCACAGAGCTGTCAGTGGCAATCTGTAGACAATTATCAATGGTAATTAGGGGCGGCTAACAAGCTATCTCCTAAGGCTGTAACCTCGATCCATTTGTTTTGTACATTTTTTACTGGAAAAAAAATATCTACTTTAAACCTTGATGAGGCTTTATCCAAGGAAAGAAAAATAATTTCATTGAATTCTTACAAGTCAGGAAATACGTAAAAGATGTTTTTTCCAGGGTCTTTTTGGTCTTTTTTGTTGAATGCTTCTCTAGATTTTTAACATTGATTTTTGACACTGATTTCTAGTTGCCAATTAACTCGCAGTGAAGTTCCCATCATCACTCCTGAATCTTTAACAGTCTTTGTGCACTGACAAAGAAATAAACTTATTCAAAGTCATTTACTTCTTTTAGCCCCTAAAACAGCCTGATGCAATAGGTTTGGGTTTTTTTTTGTTGTTGTTTCTTTGCTGTGCTGGGGACTGAACCAATGCCTCCTATATGCTATGTAACCTGTCTACCATTGAGCTGCAGCCAAGAGAGTTGCTGCAGTTAATCTATGAAGCCGACCTACATTCTAAAGAGAAACAAGGGGTATTATTGTATTTCCAGGTTTTATGTCCAGTAGATGCTTTTGATTTCTGTCCCACCTTCAGTATCTGGTAGGAATTTGGACTTTGAGTGGGGCTTAAATGACAAGTAGGGAGCAAATCCAACTAAAACAATGTAAGGTTTTTTTTCAGATACTTTAATCTTCTTAAAAGTGGGATGTGCAGTGTGGAATCCATTTAAAATAGTTAAGACTAAAAAAAAAAATATTTAAGTCTTCTTTAAATGTTTTGCTTTCAAGCGTTGGCCCCTTGTTCCCCAGCTCTTCTCAGGTTTTTTACTTAAAAAAAATTTTTTTTTCTGGGGGGAGATGAGGTTTCACTCTATATTGCTCAGGATGGTCTTGAACTCATAGACTCAACTGATACAGTTGGAACTTTGGTCACATACCTGCCTGCAATTTTTTTTTGGGGGTACCGGAGATCAAACTCAAGTCCTTGCGCTTGCACAGCAGGTGGCGAAACCACTAAGCTAAATCCCGGCCCTGCCTGCAGTTTTTAAAACTTGTGTGGCTATAGATTTTCTACAGCACTTCTTCAAAGACAAAGCACAACGAATAAAAGAACTGGGAGAGACGAAATTAGAAATTAAAAAATAGCTTTGGCGGGCCGGGGATTTAGCTCAGGGGTTCCGGCGCCTGCCTCGAAAGCGCAAGGTTCCGAGTTTGACCCCCAGTACCTAAATAAATAAATAAATAAAACACTTTAAAAAAATAGCTTTGGTTGTGGCTGTGATTCTCAGAGGAGGAAAGCTGTGGGCATTTTAATTGAGAGCTTGTCTCGAGGTTCTAGCAGGGGAGCGCAGCTACTTGTGGACCCTTGACTGAGGAAATGGTCATCTTCCACCAAGCATGCAGCTTTGGGAGGGACAAACATGGAGTGGTGAGGGAGGAAGGTGACACCCACCTAGCCAGCCAAAGCAGCCAAATCAACCCTGGCGATCAATGGTGTGACAGACATCCAGCCAGATGGCCCTCACATCTGCATTTCAATTGGGAGTGCTTACTTCTACTGATAGTTTCTTAGGTAATTCCAAACAATGCATCTCTTACTTTTTACAGTAGACCACAAAAGGTGAACATTATTGCTTTAAAAAAACCAAAAAAAAAAAAACCCAAAAGAAATCTAGATTATTGTAATTTACTGATTATATTTATGTGACATATATGTATGTACTGAGGATCCAACTCAGGGCCTCATACATGCTAGACAAGTGAGCTAACACTGAGCTATATTCTTAGTCCTTTCAAAAAAACTTATTTTGAGATAAAGAGTTTTCATAATTTGCCCAGCCCAGTCTCAAACTTTTGATCCTCTGCCTCAACTCCTCAGTAGCTGGGATTATAGTGTAATGGCAGACTTACAGTCCATAGTGTGGCAGCTGTTAGTGGTATAGCAGGATCAGGCCAAGAAGAATTGAGAATGGACCTGGAGGTTGGAGGCAAGTGTACAGCGTTATTAGACCGGGGATTTCTCCACAAAGTGATCAGCCTGGAGCTGGCAGTGAACAGGGATTATACGGGTCAAGGGAAGAGGGGTGGGGATACAAAAGCAAGGCATTTAACAGTTCATTGGTTGAGGAAGTTACATTTAGCTTACATGATTGGATGGAAAAATACACCGGATACAGACACTTACTGAGAACAAAAGACAAGTGAAGAATGTGTTAGGTGTGGGAAGGTATGAGCTAGGAGTGGCTTTTTGTCGGTTAAGTCAGCTAGCTGCTGTAAAACCTTTTTTCCCTCAGAAATGACTTTCTGGCTCAATAGGTGTATGCTGCCAGGCCCAGTTTATTATTTTTTTAAAATACCATTACATTAATCTCTGTATTTTAGAAAGTCTAATACTGGGAGGGGAGCACTAAACTGGAGATGTAACTCATTTTATAGCAAGTTTTATTTTTAAAAAATCACTGAAAATTAGTAAACTGGTACCACATGCATGAATGGGGATGCATTTTTTGTTTTGTTTCTGGTCCTGGGGCTTGAAACCCAGGACCCCATGCACACTAAGCATATGCTCCAATGCTGAGCTACATCTCCAGTCCTAAGAATGAATTTTGAGGGTAAAATCTTGAAAACAAAAATGTTGTTTTCATATCACTGTAATGGGAGCCCCAGTAAATCTTAAAAGGTTATATTCTTATCAATGCTGTTAATAAAAATATAATCCTCATAATAAGGATTTGTTTACTGGTAGTTTTTATCAGATATATTGTGATAGGGCTGAGCATTTAGCTCAGTGGTTTTGCCACCTGCTGCGTAAGCACAAGGACCCGTGTTCAATCCCTGGCACACACACACACAAAAAGGATCAGATGTATTGTGATAAAAACTAAGCCTGAACATAAATTAATCACATAAAATACGCAATTAGAGATACACACATGTTATATGATGAAATGGTTTTGGAGGGCGATTAATCCTTCAACTGCCTGAAAAGGGGGATGGAGAAGACTAAAGAAAGACAAGAGGGGGCCAGGGATTTAGCTCAGTGGTTCCAGCGCCTGCCTTGCAAGCACAAGGTCCTGAGTTCAATCCCCGGTACCAAAAAGAAAAAAAAAAGACAAGAGACTTGTGTAATTTCAAAGTACATGAGGGGCACGGAGGTCAGTGCCTGAGAACTGGCAAAGACAAAGACACTCCAAGCTGGCCATTATTTATTGGGTACACAATAATTGGAGAGAGTATCAGGTGATTTGGGGGCAGCAGTAATCCAATGTTGATGAGGATCTTAGGTCACTGAGGATCTTATGTTGATGAGGGTGGTAAGAAGAGCATTCTTACAATTGTGGGTGGGACTTTCCTCAGGTGAAACCATGTCTTCAGCTGATGTAATCTTGCCCTTGAGCATCACACTATCATGGGATCATTGAGGCCTCAACTTGTGGCACTAAAACGGAGCTAGGTTTCCAGATGCCATAGCTGGCTTGTGGGCAAGGTGACAATGTGCCTTCGACAGCTATAGTCATACTTATGAAGTGATTCTTCCCCAAAATCATGCAGAATGGCTCCCCACAAATGGAAAATTAAAATCAAAAGAGATTAGGAGCCAGGGAGTTAGCTCAGTGGTGCCACCACCGGCGCCTGCCTCACAAGGTCCCAAGTTTGATCCCCGGTACCAAAAAAAAAAAAGAAATTAAATATCCATTGCCTCACATTCTCTGAGATTAAATAGGTACCCAACTGTATTTATATAAAGGGATTCACCCTTGCATGTGTTTTCATAATGTGTATATATGACACTGAAAATTCCCTAGTACAATAATGCATGTCATCACAAATAAAATCCTAAAATAAGTCAGGCTGGGTGGCACACATTTGTAATCTTAGCACACTGGAGGTCAAGACAGGAAGATTGTTAAGTTCAAGGCTAGACTGGGCTACATAGCAAGACTCTGTCTTAAAAAAAATCATATATTTTCAGTTTTAAGATGAATTTGCTTCTCACGTTAATAGTAATCAAATCTATTTACTCTTTAGGACATACCTTTGATATACAAGTTGTATATTTTGTTTTTTGTTTTGATTTTTTTTGGTGCCGGGGATGGAACTCAGGTCCTTGCGCTTGCGCAGCAGGTGGCGAAACCACTGAGCTAAATCCCCAGCCCTACAAGTTGTGTATTAGCACCTGTCAACATTCTTTTTTTTGGTACCAGGGATCGAACTCAGGACCTTGTACTTGCGAGGCAGGCAGCAGAACCACTGAGCTAAATCCCCGGCCCTAACATTCTTTTTTTTGAGACAGAATCTAGCTATGTAGTTCAGGCTGGCCTTTAACTCACTGTGTAGCCCAGGCAGGCCTTGAACTTGTGGCGATCCTCCTGCCTCCCAAGGACTACAGGCATGCGCCACCACACCTGGGACCTGCCAACATTCTGATAGGCCGTACACCATAATAATAAAAATCCTGACAGGTATAATCTCTTTCCTGAATATAGTCCTTTAGTCTACAACTCTGGGTACATTTTTCAAACAAAATATCCCCTTTGAATTTGTACAGCACAAAGTTAGAAAGGACTTTTATTGAACCTGGAATTAGTAGTTTTATAAGAGATACAAAATTGTCTCTACATTCAATATTCTGAGAATAATTTACCATCACCAGCCATATTGTTCCTTTCAAAAGGTAGGTGGGATAGAGTGCTTGCCTAGCACACACGAGGCCCTGGGTTCAATCCCTAGAACCACAGTGGAAAAAAAAAAGAAAAATAACTTTTGTTTGTAGGCTGGATGCACAGATACACATAAACCTTTTACAGTAAAACTGAGAAATTTATTTTTTCATGAAATAAGCAGAATTAAAATAAAGAAGTATACAGTTTGAAGCAAGTGAAAGGATCCTACAATTTAATGATAACGATACCATTATGCCCAAAGGAAAAATGAACACTTTTACATAATTAACTTTAAAAATTTTGCCCAAAAATTCTACTGAAATTAAATAGATATGAGAACTGGGATCTGGGCATCTTATAAAATGAAATAATGCCACTTTTTCCTTCTACAAAATTCTGATCCTCATAAAGCAGTGGTTCACTTTTGCTCCTCATAGAAGCTGCCTCCCACTGTAACATTTAAAATGTGCCATGATTACCAGTCTTCTCTGATTTGTAAGGGCGTCACCTTTGGTTCCACTTAAAAATACTTCCAGTACACAGTCCAAAAAATAGACCTTTCCAGCCTTCCTTGGAGAGTGGAGGATCAGCACCCCAACTATCAGCAGGTCATGGATTTCTTCTAGAGCTCACTGAGGTCAAACTGCCTCATAAACTTACAAATGTTAAAAATCAAAATTACATCTTAACAGCAGCCAAAAATTTATATATCTTTTATTTATTTACAATATTGTACATATTTACATGACTACATCAATACTGAATTATAGAAATAAGAGATCATTCATAAAGGACAAAGACATTCATTTAATGCCCCAGCATTATCTTCGTGTGCAAACAAAAAAGTTTTCTCAAACTTCTGAGAAAGCTAAAGGCAGTCGACATTGCGTAGGCCACCATCCATAGTTAAAGACCCAAACCTAAAATACACAAAAGAAAAAATAATCTCAAAAGATTCATTCATTTGATCTCTGAGATTTTGTTTTTTCTTTTTTGCAGCGCAGGGACTGGAACCCAGGGCCTTTTGTGCTTGCTAGGTAGGTGCTCCACAACTGAGCCACACCCCGAGCCCCTGGCCCCCAACGTTTCAAAGAACACAGCACACTTTTAAGAGGAAAAATAAATTAAAGTTATTTTTAGAGTTCAAATAACTGTAATTTGCTCTATTTCCTACTGAAAAAAAGTGGAGTTATCATAAATAAATGAAAAAATAAAAGCCTCATGGCTTAGGAAGACTTTTAAAGAGAAAATGGGGAGTAATGCAGTTGGGAAGGTGTTAGTAAGAATCACATAATTTCTTTCTTGGTGAGGAGGGATTTATAAACCAAGATACGGAGTTGGGAATATGACACATTCAAGGGACAGTGAGAAAGAGAGTCCTGCTGGAACAGAATGTTATTTTGGGGAACGGTGGAAAATAAAGTTCGGTAGATAGGCTGGGACCAGACAATTTCTGTGTATACTTTGAAAAGAAGCACGAATTTAGACATCATTTCTTAAATAACTAGAGTTTAGAAATCTTTGATCCAAGGAAATGGTATGATTATATTAGTATTTTGGAAGACTATTTTGGCTATAATATCCATAACAGATGAGAAGAACCTGGATAAAGAAACAGGGTAGCAGGTTATTGCCACAGCTCCTACACAAAGGGACTGAAAGGAGATCTGAACTGAGGGTGGAGAGGGGAAATATGGAAATCTTTTGAAGAAAGTTTACCAAATTTCTGGAAAGCAAGAAGATTAAGTATGTAAAATTATTTATTCTTAACAAAGTAGGCGAAGGTGGTCCTATTGAAGAGGATAAGGAAATCAGAGTTGGATGATTTTAGATACAAAAAACCGTGAAGTGACAGGTACATCCATATGGAGACAGTGTGGTAAGACAGTCTGTGTTTAAGACCTGACTTTCATTACAGGTTGAACATCCCTAATCTGAAAATCTAAAATCCAAAATGACCCAAAATCCAAAACTTTTTGGGTACCACATGAGATCACAAGAGGACAATTCCAATGGCTGACCTCATAGGACAAGTTGCAGGTACATTAAAAATTACCTTCGGCCTATGTGTATAAGGCATATATGAAATATAGTTTGACTTGGTTCCCACCTTCAAGATTATCTTGTTATAAACAAGTATTCGAAAATCTGAAAATATCTGAAATGCTTCTGGTCGCAAGCATTTTGAATGAGGGATACTCAACTTGCATTGGTTCTCACAAATCCTTATGTAGTCACTTAACATGTAAGTTAAGACTATGTACTGTTATAAAAGCCAAATATTGTCAAATAAACCTGCAAATAAAACATAGGAGGAACTAACCACTGAACATGCTTTAAGAAGCTGGGATTTTATTCTACCAGGCGTAAGTGGTTCAATATAAAACCTTGTTAAGGCATCTTAATAGCCTGTTACTTTTTAATCTTTAGCCTAATAAGATAAATTTAGAATTTAGCTAAAGTTGTGATAAAACTGTAAAAGGAACACTATAAAGTTAGAAAATTACTGTTTACTTTCTACAAATAGGAAAAGGATTAAAAAAAAAAAACCCTAACAGGTAATTCCCGAAATAAAAATTGAATGTATAAAAAGATGCTTGATATTGCTATTAGCCAAAAAAAAAACAAACAAAAAAAACCCTAAAAGATCTTGGTTTTTACTAAGGGAATTGGCAAACATTCAGAACACTGACATATTGTTAACAAAGGCACAGGCTGTTTGCCTAAGACTCTAACATTCTGCCATTTTAAAGAACAAATTAGCAATACTCATCAAAACTTAAATGTGCACATTCTTTGATTCAGAAATTCCACATCTAGAAATATCTAGACATCGATCTCTTGGGCTGGGGATACAGCTCAGTGGTAGAGCACTTACCTAGCATGTGCAAGGGCTGGACTTGTCCCCAGAGTGGAAAAAAACTGATCCCTCAAAAAATTCTTATATGAGTTCTTACATGAAGAGATACATAGACGGATGTTCATTGAAACATGGGTTATAATTGTAAAAAAAAATCAGAAATACCTTAAATGCCCCCCAAAATGGGGCAACACTAAATAGATTATAATGGGGAAAGGACTGTATCAGGGTACGGAAGGCTGGGTTCTGGCTCCAGCTCATCTTCTTGGGATATGATTTTAATAACTGGAGAACACAGCCCACCTGCCTGCTCTGTACAAGGGTGTAACGCATGCAAAGTGAGATAATGTAATGGGAAAAGTGTCTTGTACCCTTGCATGTCACTTGAGATATTTTTATTAGGATTTTAAAAGTGAGAGAGCCCATAGAGTACCTAGGGTTTGAGAGGAAAAGTGTTCTCCAGAGCAAAATGTGACTGGACTTCTCCAAGGGATCAGGACAAGGAAAACATATCCAAAAATGGCTTCATTAGCGCTGTATGTTTTCAACTCTCTTTTGGTCTTATCTGTTAGGATACCATGGGTGATAAGGACACACCCAGCTCTTCTAAGAACTGCAGTTCCACATGGCATTCACCTGCAAGGAGGCTTGCAAAGGGCTCTAGGTTATCAGCACCAATCAATGTGGTGGTTTCTTATAAGTAATACAAAATCCTGGAACTGAAAATCATAGTTTTAATGAACACATTATGATTTGGTATTCACAACAGATTCAATTAATTCTATTAACCAATGCTTCTAGGAAATGGAACCAATCAACCATTCAAAAGCATCACAAATTTACCACCATGCTGAGAGAGGAAAAATAGAGTTCTGCCTTTCTGTCCCCTTTCTATTGCTAAACCTGACAGAGGATGACAGACAGATGCAAGCAGAGATGTGCACCTACTCAGCTGCACACAAAAGCACAATATGAGGTGAATCCTGCATTACTCACCTTTCTAGAATATGATTATTTTCAGCAAGTTCTTTAACCACTCCTTCCATCTCCTCCTTTAATTTCTTCATACTATGCATACAAAATAAAGATAAAAAAGCACTTCTACTCAAAAAGTATTCAAATGTTTTAGAATTATATTTATATAATGCTTTAATTTTAGATCTAACTAGAAATATTATCAAACATTAGTTAACATTAAATAGCATTATCAAACATTATATTCACGATAAACACCAAGAATTTTAAGACATAAGAACAAGATTACAAACTAAAAAAAGGAAATAGAAACACTACAATTTCCAAATAATGTTTCTTACCCCAGAGTCATTTCCACTAATGTGTTAGAACTTGGATAAACTGGGGTCATGGTATGTTTGATTCCACCAGAAGCTGCAAACATTTTCTGAGGCAGAGTTTCTTGTAACTAAAACATCAAAAAAAAAAAAAGTTCTTACTACAGAACAAAACAAGTGTTACAGCTTTTAATGAGTCCTTTACAGCTTAAATTTCTATTTCTTTTTTCTTTTTTTTTTTTGGTACCGGAGATCGAACTTGGGTCCTTGTGCTTGGGAGGCAGGTGACGAAACCACTGGGCTAAATCCCCGGCCCTAAATTTCTACTTCAAAATCATCAATGATACCATATTTAAATCAACACCCTTTTAAAACACTTTTCTTACAAAGGATAAAAGAATGGTTTAGCAGATGTTTTCAGGTGTAAAACATCTAAATTTTTTTTTTTTTTTGGTACTGGAGATCGAACTCAGGACCTGTGCTTGCGAGGTAGGTGGCGGCACCACTGAGCTAAATCCCCTGGCATGTAAAACATCTAAATTTAAGAAAGTTGGCTCAAAATTCATATTGAAAATGGATGAGTACAGTTGAATACAGGCATATGACTCTATCTATTTTTGATAGATGTACCTCATTAGTATAGTCTTGATACTTTGATATTTCTTCTTCAATATCAAAACACTGATTAGTTAGAGATAATAACTGTTTCCTAAGATGAAGCATCTTTCTGAAAGCCAAAGACAATTCATTAATAAGCAGTCTCGTGAAATAGTCTCACTTAAAATATGTAATATATATTACATTGTGGAGCCAATTACCATCACTCCAAAATGGGTTATTTACCTCATCCATTCTTCTGACTTATCCAAAAATGCTTCATACTTTTTAACACATTCATCTGAGAAGTGGGTCATTGCTTTTGTTGCGTGGTAGTACAATTTTTGCCTGCAATTTAGAAATAATCAAAGAGGCTTAAACCAATTTCACTGTTTCTGCTTCCAATATTTCAAGTATATGAAACTGGTTTCCTATAATGACTTGTGGCTGTAAAATATTTATGGGAGAAAGGAAAGGTTTCTAAGATAGACATCATAGCTGTAAGAGGGGAAAGAGGAGATTCAAAATGGAGAGCATTTGAAAAATATTTATTGATTGGGTTTAAAGTAAGGTGGGAATATCTTTCCTCTCCCCTGCCCTCTATTCACAGCCCTTCTGCAATTAGAGAATATAAAGCAGAGGACTGAGCAGAATGCGGTTTTTTCTGCCCCCTCATTCTCCCATCTTGGTAACTTCCCAATAAGGGATCAGATGCATGGGCCTCAAAATTGTGCACCTAGAGTAACAATCCTATAAATCAAGATTAAAATGTATTTTACTATAATTAATCCCAATTTTAAGAATCATATTAATAGAGACAACCAAAACAGCACTGAAAAATCATGTTATTGAACATTATCTAGATACTTACTTATCAAATTTGTGGATTTGTTCTTCATTGTAAGCTAGTCCTAGAAATAAGAAAATACATACTTTTGTTAGTATACTGTAAACACCATGCATGGTATTTTCTTCTTAGATTAAAAAGGCAGAGTTGGAAGCAGATGTTACAGACTCGTGGCCCCTGGACTATGTATGGCCCACAGATGCTTTTTCTTTGTATGTTGTTAACATAAAAAAAAAAATTAACTGTTAACATTTAAAATATCAGATATCTGTAACACAACCTGCATTCCTAGCTTTGCTGGAGAAATGGGAACCCTGGGAAACATGCCAGGTGACCTGAGCAGTGGCCTCCCCTTCAGATGGGCTCTGCTCTCTCCAGGCTCTGTGCTGCCCACCGTCCAGTCTTATTCTTTTAGGTCACACCTGTCTTGCCTCTAGGGGCTTTGGAATTCATGACCCTGATTTAAAATATTCAATGGCTATTATCAAGAAATCAACCAACAACAAATGGTGGCAGGGCTGGGGGGGAAAAGGAACCCTTCTCCACTGTTGGTGGGAGTGCAGACTGGTGGAATCACTGTGGAAATCAGTGTGGAGATTCCTCTAAAAACTAGGATTAGAGGTCCCATTTGACCCAGCTATACCCCTTCTAGGTATCTTCCTGAAAAAATTAAAAGCATCATACCACAGCGATAACATGTGTGCCTATGTTTATGGCAGCAGTTGGTAGTAGCTAAATCTTGGAAACAATCCAAATGCCCATCAACCAATGAATGGATAAAAAAAAGATGTGGTTTTTTTATATAATGGAGTACTACTCAGGAACAAAGAAGGATAAACTGGAGACACTACTAGGTAAATGGATGCACCCTGAAACCACACTTTTAAGTGAAATAAATTGAACACATATGTGTAAATATCACACTGTCTCTCTGATGTGAGAAACTGAAAATGTAAATAAAGACCAAAATGTACTGTATAACAGATACTGTGAAACAGGAAGAAATTGTTCAAAATAATACAGAGTGTCAGATATTTTGTTAATAATTAAAATGTTTTATGAAAAAAAATGGTATAGTTTTCTTAGGAGATGAGCTAAGAGATAGATTAGCAACTGAAAATATTCTTTTAAGACCATGATAGAGTGTGTTTTAGCATTGTTACTAATTATTTTGTAATGACATTTTATTTTTTCATAGAAATGTTTTATATTTTCTTTATTAATATCTACTCGTGTTAATTAAAATAAAAATAAAAAATTTAAAAAATTAAAAAAAAATTCAAAAGATTGGTTGCATCAATAATAATTAGTACATTCAACCTTTTTCCTGAAAAACATTACATCTCTGAAAGAAATAACTTAAGTAGTCACTGTTACAAATATATCAAATTAATCCAACTGAATTACAACTACTATGGCTGATTCATTAGATTAACAAACAGGAAATTTTACTTACTACGTTCTGCTTTGTCTTTTTTGAACTGATAGTAAATCTCTGTGATGCAATTTAACAGGACTTGTAGTTTTTCTACACTATTTAAGGAAGAAAAACTCAAATAAATTAACTGAATCAATGTGAAAAAGGACATTTAGTAAGATCAGAAACTATCCATAAGGGTGGACCTACTTTCTGTCTTTTGGCTGAGTTCCTTCTTGATGTGCCCATGCTTCTGTCAATAATCCACCGGGAGATAATCTGCTGTCAATGTCCTGCAGACTGGTTTCTATTGTTCCCTGAGAACTGGAAAGCTAAATGAAACCAATGGGTTCAGTTCTAGATTGCCAAAGTCAAACATGACGATCACAGTGCCCAAGGAGTCTCTATAATAGAGTCTGGACCACAGTTCTTTGCAGATTACTTCAATTCAAAGCAGACTAATTATTTTCAACTTTAAATACAAGAGCAGTTTCTTAGGTTGATTTCCACCAGGAGTAAAATATAATACTAACACAAGAATCACAGTTGCCTGGTAAACGGAAGGTCCTGAGTGCGACCTCTGGTACCACAAAAAAAAAAAAAAATACCCCCCCCAAAACATAAGATTAATTGGTATTAAAACATTTATAAAACATTTCACCAGCAAATACTTTTTGTGTGTTTGTGGTGATGGAGATTGAACCCAGGGCCTCATGAATGCTAAGTAAGTACTTTACCACTGAGCTACATCCCAAGCTTAGAAAATAGCCTTTTAAAAAAAACATGTAAAACACTTTTAATCATTCACTTAATGTTTCCCTTTGGGTAAAAAAAAATTAATACTCTATCCCACAGAGTTCTGAAAAAAAAATATGAGAACCACTGGCATGGTCCCAAGTATAAAGTACTGGTGTATATGATTTGTGCTCTCTTTGTTTGGAGCCCCTTCCCCCCAGTAAACTAACTTGATTATTTCTTTATTTTTGGCAGTACTAGGAATTGAATCCAGGGCCTTCACACTGAGCTACATCTACAGCCCTTTTTATTTTTTACTTTTTTTTTGTACCAGGGATTGAACTTGGGGCCTTGCGCTTGTGAGGCAGGTGGCAGAACCACTGAGCTAAGTCCCTGGCCCTCAAATAAAATTTTAAGTGACACTGCCACTAGAAAAAAACAAGGGAGCCCTTCTTACTATACTTTTGTCAGCATCGGTATTATAATTTTTTAAGCCTTGGTAATTTGAAAGACAAAATGATAACTTACTCTTACAATATGCAACTTCCTATTAAGTTTGAATTTTAAGTTTTTCCACTATATTTTCTTAATTTGTAAATTTTCTCTAAATGTTCTTTGCTCATCTATTTATTAGATTTAATATTTTCCTTATCAATTTACATGAGATAGGGTCTCGATATGCAGTCAGGCTGGTTTGAACTCACTCTGTAGTCCAGGCTGAACTTGAACTTGCAGCAATCCTCTGAGCACTGGAATTATAGGTGTATGCTGCCACTCCTGGCTTACATTGAGCTATTTTTGTAAAAACTTATTGAATGGGCTGGGGATTTAGCTCAGTGGTGCTGCCGCCTGCCTTGCAAGTGCAAGGGCGTGAGTTCAATCCCCAGTACAAAAAAAAAAATTATCACATTTCTCCAACTTGCTTTTTTTTTTTTTCCAACTTGCTTTTTGACATGAGAGATTCCACATTTTTACATAGTCAAATATATACCTTGGCTTTTACACTTCAACATTAATATTTAGAATATGTTAAATTATACAACCAATATTTGAAAAATAGTTTATAGAAAAGTTATTCCTTAATATTATATAGAAGACTGAAAAATGGCAAGCAACCTAAAAGACCAATAATAAGAGAATAATAAGTAAGAATAATGAGCCCATGGACTGCAATATTATGTATATTAGAAAAGTACGAGGGGCCAGGGATTTAGCTCAGTGGTTCTGCTCCCTGCCTTGCAAGCGCAAGGTCCTGAGTTCGATCCCTGTTACCAAAAAAAAAAAAGTACTCCTACTGGGTTTGGGGGATGTACCAGCTCAGTGGTAAAGCATCGCCTAGCATGCAGGAGGCCCTGGGTTCAATCCCCAACACCAAAAATACAACAACAAAAAAAGACCAACCTAGAAAATGTAATGTTATTTTAAAAACCCAAACAACTGTATGTTATTAATAATATATAAAAGAGAGTGAAACCAGTGGCTGTCAAAATGTCCGCAGCATCAGAATCTCCTGGAGGCTTACTACAAGAGCCCTTGCTGGGCCCCACATCGTAAGTTCCCAGGTGAGGGTGATCCCACTAGCCCAGAAACCATTCCCACAAGCACCTGCTACAGGACACTAAAAAATTCTTACTAATCATTTTCTGGGTGGTTGGCATATGTGGTATTTTTTCTTTTTATAAATGCTACTTCTGTGGTGGTAAATTTTTTTTTTAAGGTCTCAATTAGGAAAGGAGCCACAACAGCACAACAGGTTATAAAGAAAAACAATACAATCTAGTGAAAAGTAAATGGCCTCAAGTTAGAAGTGCGGATATCCAAAGACTCCATGCAATTAAAACATTTAGTCATCTAATCGTTCATTCTTAAAAGAAACAGAAATCTCAGAAAAATGTCATTAAAATGAGAAAGACTTTCAGCTCTTCAAAGTAAACATAATTTTGACTGGAAGTGTTCAAATGATATTGGCCCTGAAAGTAAGTGTCCATTAGGGCTATAAACTAGTAAGTCAAACTCTAAGCCAAAAGCAGGGAGCAAAAACAAAATATTTACAATATGGTAGTCTATATTTAAGTGCAGACAGCTGGGGATTTAGCTCAGTGGTTCTGCTGCCTGCCTCAAAAGTGCAGGGTCCCGAGTTTGATCCCCGGTCCCTCCCCGGCAAAAAAGTATATTTAAGTGCAGACAACTACTGGGGAAGACTATTTCTTGTTTCTCTGACTTTTGTTGCTTTATTCTACAGCAATGTTTTCCCTACTTTTTGACCATGATTCACTTAAGAAATTCACCCTGTAACATTTAAAGTGTAAAATAACTGGATCAAAAGTTTAAAGGAACAGTGATTTCCTAATATGTGATGCATTCTGACATTTTCTATCCCGTTTGAGAATACTGCAGATTGTACAAACTAAACTTCACAGCCTACTATTCACTCATAACTCATATTTTGTTTTTTTTGGTATTGGGGATCAAACTCAGGACCTTGTCCTTGCAAGGCAGGCAGCAGCACCACTGAGCTAAATCCCCAGCCCGTGATTCATATTTTGGAAAGCTACTCTTCTAGATCTAAAACCAAGGAAAAGAAACAACTAAAGATCATACTATGCTGGAAAGAGAAAAAAAATAATAAAGTTTCTTTTCCTTTTTAATTTTACATCCATTTTATGAATAATTTAAATACTAAAACTTGCAGGACTAGAGCGTACCATTTAATTGATACAATAACCACCTATGAGACAAGCAAGGTAAGAAATTGCCCATTTTTGAGAAAACAGAAATGAAGAATTCAAAGAATTAAAGGCCTTTCATAGCCAGTCAAGAGCAGCTAGGTAAACAGGGGCAGATCTGGGATTAATAATCAACTCTCATAATATTCCATGTACTTCTATAATACATCTTAATGAAAGCTCCAGAAACTCCCTGAAATGCTATTGTACTTTTTAGCAAAGACTTGTGTCCTAACTGACTCACTGCCTTGATTCCGTATCTTGATTTAGAAAAGATCTGAAAATATTTTAATTGCCTTTATTTCTAAACAAGTTTAAGCATCCTATATCCAACTGAATAGTAAATTACATTTAAGAACTTGCTTTAATTGCCAAAGCAGCAACATAAGAGCATTATGGATTTAAAAAGCAAAAAAAAGGAGGGAGGGGGAAAGGAAGAGAGCAGTAACAGAGGAGGGAGGGAAAGGGAGAGAGGTGTTTAATGTATACAAGGCTTTTGGAAATGTTATAAAGAACTTCATGGCAGTGATGTTATTTAAATATTGCTAGAAATCCCTAAAGATGAGAAAAGGCTATTTTCTCTGAAGAGTTTTAGAAATAATATTTTTCTAAGAAAGTTTAAGTCTAATTTTGTCAGCAAAGGGAGACTGTGGACCTAGAATTTTCATAATTTGTACTTACTCTCAACAGTTTGGTGTGTATGTCTGAAATTTCACCTAACTCTGCTGCTTCTAGGTTGATCTTCATCAATTTTTCATATCTGCATGAAAAGGCAGTCACAGGGAAAAAATTAAACGAGTGTAACAAATATGTAGATTTTAAAGTTTTATACATTATATTTGAGTTTTTATCATAACTATTTAATAAAAGATTTATTCAAAGTCTGCAAGTCACCAGGTTCAATGAAAACCTTAGTGTCTTCCTGGAGAAGGAATTTTATATATATGGTTTCTCCTTATCTGTGGTTTCACTTTCCATCGTTTCAGTTATAGAGGGTCAATGGTGGCCTGAAAATATGCAGTGGAAAACCTCAGAAATAATTTAGTTTTAAATTTCATGTTACTCGGAGTAGCTGAGAATCACACACTAATTGGTCCTTCCTGCATGTGAGTGCCCTACGTGTCAGTGCTGTATCTGCTACCTATCCTTTAGCATTTAGCAGCCATTTCATTTATCAGATCACCTGCCAAGGTATTTCAGTGCTTGCATAGAGGGTTTGGTACTATCTGAGGCTTCAGGTATCCACTGAGAGTCTTAGAACATATCCCCTGAGGATAAGGAAGGACTACTGTACTTCTACTCATAAATTTGCAAATGAAGGGATAAAACAGATAAGGCAAGTTAATTTCAAATAATCTTATGCCGGGATAATAGTAAAAATACTAGATTTCAGAATTAACAGAGGTCAATAATAAATACCAATTTCACTTACTATATTTCCTCTGCAGTACAAATAGTCTAAAAAGAAGGCAGTTTAAACTATCATTTTGTTTCAATGGACATTCTCAGAGATAAGATTAATAATTAAGAATAAAACTAACTGAAAATTCTAAAATACTACCAAAAGGCTGTTCTAGACTACTACTTCTTACTTCGTTGACTATAGGTTTATATTTTCTTATTCAAATATTCTGCTTGGAAAAATAGACATGAAATATTTGTGTCTCCTATTGCTCTTTCCTTTGCAAACGAAGGGTGAAAACGGCATCAAAGATGGTATTCATTTCTTACTGAGAAAACTAGTATTTTTCTTCTAGGAAATAATTCTAACCTAAGGCTACTGCATAATGTAAACACTTGCACAGCATGCCATATTGTGTTAAAGATAATTAAGTTCGACAGAAATGGAACATTTAATATCTTAACTATTACTAGGAAGGAAGTAATCTACTCACACTTTTACAGTTTTTTCAATGTTTCTGATGCAGAAATCCAATGTGATCACAACTTCCGTCTTTTTATGAACAGTTTCATTGTAATCATCTTTAACTAATTCACTAAAAAAAAATGATTCTCATTAGTTTACCTTAAAAAAAATTTATCGCTAGTTACACTACTGTACTACTACCCAAACACATTTCATAATAGCATTCTTTGTATTATTTTGAAAGTCAAATCTCACTTTTTAGGACATCATTAAAAGCACTTCTGTGGCACTCGTGCATATCAAGGGCACTTAACAAACCATTACTACATAGAAACACAAGGCATTAAAATTATATTAAAGAATAAAAATTAATGCACAATAACATAGGTAAAGTGTACAGCATTACACTTTATACTACCAAAATTAACTTTTACTACTCATAGTAGACAGCTTTATGATTTATACTTTATTATTATTTATTTTTGTGGTACTGGGGGTCAAACTCATGGTCTAACAAATGCTAGGCACTCTACCACTGAGCTATACCCCCAAACTTTGGTTTACATTTTAAGACAATGTGATCTCTAAAGAAGGATGACATAATTGAAGAGCTTTTGGTTTTCTACATCAGGGATTAACAAACTAAGGCCTGAGGCCCATACACTAACATTACAGCTTCAAAGGTTGGAAAAATAAAAGAAAAATAAAGAAGAGATGGCATATGGCCAATGAAGCTAAAATACTTACTGGCAGACCCTTTAAAGAAAAACTATTTTTTCATGACCTACTAAAGTATAAAATAAGTAAAAGGAATAAAAACTTTATAGATCAGGGACTAGGGTAGAAAACAGCCAGAGAAAATAAAAGCTGTTAGTACACTTAAGATTTTTTTCCCCTAGAAACTAGTAAAAATAAGGAACATTTCTGGGGTGTGTGTATGCACACCCTAGGAGACTGAACCTTGAGCCTCATAGTATGGGCTCTACTTCTGAGCTGAGCTACACTCAGCCTCACATGTTTCTTAATAGAAACAGAAAAATTAGGCTAGAAACTGGTATGTGAATACAATGAAAATTATTTTAAGCACAAATTTGTGGGTTTCACATAACAGTAAGTGAAAAAAAAAAGCCTGAAAAAGAGGTAAGAACAGCAATACTTCGTGTGTACAACTTTTGCAAGAAAGGATAGGTGTAAGGCAGGCACATATAAAATGTCACAGACATTGAAGCCCAAAGGCACAATATGCAGTGAAGTGAAGTGAGCCCATACTTTTTAGCATCTTTCAGCAACTAGGCTATTACTACTTGTGTACAAAGCCCAAAAGCTTCCTTCAAGGGGCTGGGGATTTAGCTCAGTGGTTCCGGCACCTGCCTTGCAAGTGCAAGGTCCCAAGTTCAATCGCCGGTACAAAAAATAAATAAATAAAAAGAAAAAAAAAACTTCAAATGATGTATAGAACTATAAGCATAATTCTCAAAAACTTTAAGATCTATTTATTTTCTACTATCAGAATCAGATGGAAAAATCACATTTTAAAAAACGATTTAAAAAAGAGGAGGAGGAGGGAGGGAGAAAGGAAGGAAGGGACAAGAAAAAAGTGAAAATAGAAGGAAGAAATGGAAATAAAGCTTTTGTACATAGGGAGGGGAGGAGGCTTGAGGGGGTATAAAATACAAATAAATAAAATTTTAAAAAAAGATCAAATCACATTCATCTTACATTTCTTAAGATCTCTTTCAGGAGAAGAATACTTAAAATATTCCTTTCTAGAATAACAACATAGAGTGCTACAGTAAGACATTACCTTCTAAACTGTTGAGCATATATTCATAGTATATGATTCTCTTTATAATAAATAGAATAGGCAAATCTATAGACCCAAAGTATATCAGTGATTGCCTAGGGCTGGCAGGATGGTTTGGGGGGAAAATGAATGAATACTAATAGGTGCAGGATTCTTTTGGGGGGGCTGATGAAAGTGTTCAAAACTTAGTGTGATAGCTGCACAAGTCTGCAAACATACTAGAAAACAATTGAATTGTATATTTTATTTGTTTTTATTACTATCATTATAATTGCTTTTTGAGATAGGGTCTCACTATGTAGTTCAGGCTGGCCTTCTATTCACTGTGCAGCCCAGGCTGGCCTCAATCCTGCAGTGATCTTCCTGCTTCAGCCTCCTGAGTGCTGGGATTATAGGTGTGAGCCATTATACCCAGCACTGTGAATTGTACATTTTAAATTGATGAATTTTATAGTATGTAAATTATATCTCAATAACGCTGTTAAAAAAAGTAAATGTGTACTTCATTTGGGGAAATGGTAGGAAATGCAGGAAGATTCTGAGGACTCAAACCCTAGCAAGTATAGATTTTACTGGATTACAACAATGTCAAAGTCTTCCAAGATAGCAAAATGACAATCAAGTCAAGGCTTTTGGAAAAGAAATCATTTGCTATCACATTATACAATGTTGCTAAGTTTTAAAATTCAGGTTCTATTTGTCTCACAAGATTAATATGAGAAATAAATGAAAAAAATAGCTGCTAAATATTTTGTAAGCTAAATGTGAAGCAAATATAATAAAAATCAAGCATGTGACCCTAGTCTAAGTGGTAAACTAACAATGATGGGGTGACTAACAATTACTCAGTAAGACCTACAGCAAGATCAATTTTTAAATTGCAACCTAGTACTTACATCAACCATCGTATCCCCTTTCGCATTAATTCCTGATAAAGCAGCAAAGTACTGGCAATTCTACAGGCATAACACACAACTCCTGTTATTGCCTGATGAAAAAATAAAAAATGTCAATGGTCCCAAATGTGTTACAGGGTTGGAAAAATTTTACACTGAAGTTTTCAAGCTTATATATTTCTATCAGGTTAATTAAAAACATAACAAACTACTAATGTCTAAAAGCTAAGGACAGATATAACCGTGGTAAGTATTTTATCCTTAATTATCTAAACATGCACTGTCTCAATGGAGAAAATTTTCTTAAAAATTTTCTTCGAGTTTCAAAAAGGACAGAAAGTAAAGATAGAGGGCCAGGGATTTAGCTCAGTGGTATCGCCCGCCTGCTGCACAAGCGCAAGGACCCGAGTTCAATTCCGGGTACCAAAAAAAAAAAAAAAAGGAAAGATAGAACATAAAACATCTTGGAAAAGGGTAACAAATGAATAATATTCTAAGTCATTAGGCATATGTAAGGATACTGAGACAGGGTCTCACTATGTAGCCCAGGCCAGCCTCGAACTCATGGCAATACTCCTGCCTCAGCCTCCTGAGTGCTTGGATTACAGGCGTGTGCCACCACCCCTGGGTAAGATATATTTTATTGCTTCTACTACTGATAGGACGATCTAAATACAAATGCTGACAGAGCAATTCAATTAAATACTAACCTTAGCCATGCTAGCATCTCCATCTAAATCGTAACGTGGATGTACCTTCGGGAGGGAAACTGAAATAGGAAGTAAAAGACTTGAAATCAGTACCAAAATATTTTGAATAAATTATTTTTATATGGTAAACAGGATGTCTAAATGAAATACCAATGATAAACTTTTAAATGTACTTATCCTGGTTTAAAAAAAACTACTTGAAACAATAATGTTTATTCTCTAATCACCTCCAATATTTCTAATGAGTTTCATTTTTTTCCTAAATATATTCCAACACAGTAAATTCAACTGAAGTTTCAAAAAAGAATGTAAAAGTCTGGGCAATTCATTTTTTTTCTATCAGTAGTATGAATAACTCAAAAGATTTAAAAAATGCAGATTTAATTTTTCCTAGACTATAAAGCATGGTGCAATGTCTTATAGGCACTGGGCATAATAAATTTGAAATACATGATACATAATTGTAAGTGTTAGCAAAACACTCTAAGTAGAATTGTACTAAAATGTACATGACAAACTATTTCACTATTAAATGAAAGAAAATATTTGAAGTCAAATTATGTCTATAAGGCTTTTCAATTTTAGTGTTTCCAGTTAATTTACATAATTTTAATATTTATGAAAAGTTCTACATTAATTCACCACTGACTTGATGAAAATAAGAATCATTTTTACAATGCTAGATTTTTGAGTGTTTTAAAATGGCCATTAAGAACAAAAAGAGGGCCAAGGATTTAGCCCAGTGGTGCCGCACCTGCCTGGCAAGCACAAGGTCCTAAGTTTGATCCCTGGTACCAAAAAAACAAAAAAAACAAGAAGAAAAAAATCCTAACGTACTTTTCTCATATATTAATCCTATGGTAGTCAGGGGTTCCCGGCTTACTACAAAGATAGGATTTTCCTCTGTAGTTTTAGGGAAATGCTGTGCCAGTCTTCCAGGTTCCAAGACTAAGCGACGTCCTTCATAGATCAATTCTTGACTTGAAGAAATAATTTTGGTTTGTTTATACACCAGTTCATGAAATACAGTAGCACTGTGTGAGGAAGGTTAAAAAAGACAACTAATTTTATCTAATTTTAGATAAAATGAGAGGTAACTCCTTTTATTAAGTATTGAGTGCAACATTCATTTTTAAGTTATTTCTAAACTCATGACCAGTCCCTATAAATGCTACTTTGTTACTATGGGTACTAAAATCTCCAAGAAAATGAAAATTCTGTATAATCTGTCCATATAATAATCAATTCTGAGATATCTTTCTGTTTGGATACCATTGTAACATACAGCATTCCTAATGTTTAAAAATTAGGAAAAGGGGCGGGGATTTAGCTCAGGGGTTCCACCGCCTGCCTTGCAAGCACAAGGTTCCAAGGTTTGATCCCCGGTACCAAAAACAAACAAACAAACAAAAAAATTAGGAAAAATATAAGAGTAAGGTAAAGAGTACTGACGGAGTCAGATAGATACCTGGGTTCAAAGTCTAGCTCTTCCACTTGCTGTTGTATAACCCCAATGGAAGTAATAATAGGACCCTCACACAAAATTAAATGATTGAAAATGTAAAAAAACTGAGACTACTTGCAACTGACTATACAATGTTAATAATAAAAATTTAAAATCCAGGTATTTTCAAAATGATAGGGAAAAAAGTAGAGTCCCTTTGAGTTGATCTATGAACTCCAAGAAACATTTCAGCAGAAATGCAATCTAGCTCAGGCAAGAGCTTCTAGTTTCGTTAGATTCAGGCTTGGGGATCAGGCTTCACTTCTGAAATGAAAAAATTATGGCCAACATCTAACTGTGATCCATATTTATTCAGGCTGTTAAAAGTATCAAAGTAAAGATATATAATATAACGTAATATTATTATTGTATTTATTGATATACTAGAGATATATTGCATGTGTAGCTATTTTATTTCTCTTTTCATCTTTCCTGTTTTTTTCTTTTTTTCAAAGTCGTGGAGCTTCATGCAAGCTAAGCAGCTGCTCTACAACTAAGCTACAACCCCAGCCCCTTTTTATGAGTTTTATGGGGCATCAAAACTATTTAAATTTTGTCAAAATAGACAGTAAGGCACAGAGAATAGGTGCAACCCCCGCCTCAGTTAAAAAAAAAATTCTATTTTGAAGTTACTGTAGATTCACATGCAATTTGAAGAAATAATATAGAGAAAGCTGGGCACAGAGGTGTACACCTATAATCCTGCCACTTGGGAAGATGAGGCAGGAGGATCACTGTAAGTTTGAGGCCAGCCTGGGCTACACGGTGAGTTCAAGGCCAGCATGGCCTACATAGTGACACCCTGTCTCAAAAGAAGTAATACGCAGAGATGCTGTATACCCTCCACCCAGTTTCCCTCAATGGTAACATCTTGGAATATATAGTAAAATATTACCACCAGGATATTTTTCTTTTTTTTTTTTGATAGGATCTCATTATGTATTCCACTTGAACTCACTATGTAGCCCAGGCTGTTCTTGAACTCCTGGCAATTCTCCTGTCTTAGCCTCTTTGAATGCTAAGATTATAGGCCACCACAACCGGCTACAACCAAGGTCTTATTTCGACACAATCTATCTACCTCACACTTTCCCAGTTTTACATGCAAATTTGAGTGTATTTAGTTATATGCAGTTTTATCATGGGGTAATTTTTTTAATGATAAAGGTATAATGTGTTTTTATTTATGTAAAACAAAGGCTGATTATTTCTCCACCATCTATTGAATGATTTATGTCTCATATGCAAATAAAAACTACACTATGTTTAAGATTTAGGCTTTAATATTTTTAAAACCACAGGATAATATTCTTAATAAAACTTCACTCATTTATCAGTATGTACATTGCCTTTGTGGTTATATGATTATGTAATCTGAAAGAAGTCACAGAAAGTAGTTTTGTAAAACCTGCAGTTTAATGAGATGTTAATTTGCCTGTAAATTTAAGAAAATTAATTCTTTTTATTCTAGAGACAAGTGTGTGCTTTTAGTGAAGCTGAGGCACCTTTTCTATTTCTTCTCTTAATGTAAGAAAATATTTATTATATATAACAGTATATTGATATACGGATAACACAAAGAGGTACTTACGTATTATAGCTATGAATATAAATCTTATGAGCTGTCATTTGTTGTAGTGAAAAAACATGAATTATCATTCGGTGAAGAATATCACTCGTTTCTGCAAAAAATTGGTCAAAACCCCAACACTTTTCCTGATCTGCTTCAAGGATGTTTGCAAGTACAGGGGTAAGAAGAACTTGAAGACCCCTAAAATAGTATTGAAAAAAGTTACTTGAAGGGTGAATGTTATATTTGGTCTAGGTAAAAAAATCAGAGTATTCACCAACAAATCAAAGGAACTATTATTGTTACTACACATTGAATATCCCTTATCTAAAATACTTGGGACCAGAAGAGTTTCAGATTTTGAATATTTTCAGATTTTGGAATACCTGCATATACATTATGAAATACCTTGGGGATGAGATCAAAGCCCAAATATGAAATTCATACATTATACATATAGCCTAAAGCTAATTTTTTTATACAGCATTTTAGTGCACCTGAGTTTCAACTGTGACCTGTTTGTCACATGAGGTCAAGGGTGGGATTTTCCACCGTAGTACGATGTCCGCACTAAAAACATTATGGATTTTAGAGCATCTTGGGTTTTGGATTAAGGGTGCTCAACTTATATTTCTAGTTTAAAATATTAGAGTCTGCCAACTTTTCATAAAGCTACATAACCTCCATTTAATATCACTTGTCAATCAACCAATAACAAATGCTGGCGAGGCTATGGGGAGAAAGGAACCCTTCTCTACTGTTGACGGGAGTGTAGACTGGTGCAACCACTGTGGAAATCAGTATGGAGATACCTCAAAAAACTAGGATTAGAGATCCTATTTGACCCAGATATTACCCTGCTGGGTATACTCCCCAAAGAATTAAAAAGCATCATCCCACAGCAATATATATGCACCCATGTTTATAGCAGCCCAGTTTGTAATAGCTAAATCTTGGAAACACGCCAAATGCCCATCAACTGGTGAATGGATAAGGATGTGTGTGTGTGTTTTTTTATAAAATGGAGTGGTACTCTGCCATAAAGAAAGATAAACTTGAGACACTTATAACTAAATAGATGCACCCTGAGGCCATTCTCTTAAGTGAAATAAATAGGATACACATATGTAAATACTGAATTGTCTCTGTGATGTGAGAAACTGAAAGTGTAAATGAAGACCAAAATGTATAACAGATATTGTGAAATAGGAAGAAAATGTTCAAAGGGGAAGGGGAACTAGGGAGGGGGACAGGGGAAAGGAAAGAAGGGAAATAAAAAAAAATTGAAGAAAAGGAAAAATCAGAAACAAAGCTTATGTCAACAGGGAGGGGTGGAGGAGTTGAAGGGAGGGTAGGGGAATGGGAAAAAAATAAGAACCAAGATATATCATATATAGGTACAAATTCCCACTGATGAATGTGATCCTAAGGTTTACCTAAAATATACCAATAAACTCAATTTTTTAAAAAAATCACTTGCCAATGAATTAGTGACTATAGCATTTTCTTTTCTTCTTTTTTTTTTTTTTGGCTTTTGAGACAGGGTCTAGCTATGTAGTCCAGGCTGGCCTCGAATTCACAGCACTGCTTCTGCCTCAGGCTCCTGAGTGCTGGGATCACAGGGTGTGTGCCACCACGCCTGGCAATTATAGCATTTCCATGTTAACTTATCCTTTAACTGATTGTTAAAAGACTGTTTTATTCTCTCCTTGTTAAGTTTCCTCACTTTTCTAAAAATATCATATACATAGGTGGCTATCTAGGTAATACCAGTTGATTGGGACCATATGGTCACAAGGACAAGATAATGGTTTAATTTCCAATAAAGGGTCTTTAATGTCCTTGTAATATTTAATTTTATATGTGGAATTTATATGCCTTTTTAGTTTGCTGATGTAAAATTACTAAAATAATCTAGCCATCAATTAGCGCCAATGAGAAATACCTATGAGTTAAATGTTCATATATTTAAAAACCAAACAAGAGGCTGGGGATTTAGCTCAGTGGTTTTGCCGCCTGCTGCGCAAGCGCAAGGACCCCAGTTCGATCCCTGGTACCAAAAAAAACCCAAGCCCAAAACCAAACCAAAACAAAACAAAACAAAAACAAACAAGACTTTGTCTCATGCTTTCCCCCAAATTATACAGCATGTTCTGAATGACTCCCAATTGTTGAATTTTAAACACTGAAATTGGGCTATATGAGAGATGCTAGAATAATCCCTTGTCTATTAACAGTTTTAAAGGTACATAGTAGATGTTTTTGATTTTTGCCCAACAGGTGTCCATTCTCTGTCCTCCATGAGGACCCTAAACATCTCCACTCCTTATTCATAGATAGACATGAGAACCAAGTCTGGTCATTATGATTAACTGAAGGCCACCAGCAAGTGGCCTAAGTTTGTGCAATGAGAATCAACCCAGAAATATAAAGTGTTTTTTCTACTGGGCTTTTAAGGCCATAATAATATTAGTTTGGGAGTACTAGCAGCCTTCTGTGGCTGCTAGGGAAGAGTATGACCTTAAGTAAAGAAAAATCACAAAGGAAAGAGACCAAGTCTTAATGACAGTCTGTAGGATTCAGTTATGGTTTGAGTCATATTCACATGTGAACTTTTAATTACAAAGTCAAATCAATTTCCTTTTTCACTCTAACTAGCCAGGTTAGATTACTCTCTTACTATCCATTCTTGATTAATAATATAAGCGATATCATTTTATTATTTTTCTTACAGTCTGTTACATTTTTGGTTAACTGTTTTCATTGATGATTTGTAGTAAAGTCCTTGTATTTTAAACAAAAACTGAAACAAGTCACATAATGTACTCTCTGATGTGTAATTTTTATTAAAGATTTTATAACTGGTATGTTAACAACTGTTTAGAAATAAGGCCTGTTGCCCTCCAGAAATATGCATTTTATAGTTCAGCTCATCAGATTACTGACTGTTTCGGCAATATAATTATTAATCAGTTCATATTTATTTCCTGAGTCCTTTACATTTTACCAGATTTGCTGAAGGCCCTTCAAATCGAGTATATCCTAAATCAAAATTTAATGCAAATTACTGTAATACTAAATTTCTGCTCTCCAACACAATGAATTTGTTTTGTTAAGTCTACTTGCAAACACAATATTATTTTACTTTATTTTATTTATGAGACAGGGTCTTGCTTTGTAGTTCAGTCTGGCCTTGAACTCATGGTGAGCCTCCTGCCTCAGCCTCCCAAGCGCTGGGATTATAGGAGTGTGCCACCTGGCCACAATTTTATTTTGGAAACATTTTTCTAAATAACAAAAAATAAAACCATCAGAACAGTATGGCTTTTTGAAAATGATTTCTTCAGTGGAACTCTTGGTTTAAATGGATTTTTATCCAGAATCATTATCAATATGAATTTTTCCAGAATCAGTATCAAAATGTTCAAGAATAAGCTTGTTTTAGATATTTACTAATACGGTGAAAGTCACTACAAAGTGAAAGTCATACAAAAAGCATTGACAATTTTATTAGGTGCTAAGCCAGTAAATCAGGCCCTCTGTGACTTGTGGATTACATAACTATCATACTTGGGAATAATGAAGGTTAATTCATTAATCAAATTCTACATATTGGCAACTATCTTGGCTTTATTTCCAGAGTGAAGTCTGTCTAAAATAATTTAATTTTTACTTTTAACTTTTTATTTTAAACAGTACTGGGGCTGACCCAAGAGAGCACTGAGCTATGTCTCCAAACCTATTTTATTTAGAGACAAGCTCTAAGTTGTCAAGGCTGGACTGGAATTTGTTGTCTTCTGGTCTCAACCTCCAAGTAACTGGGCTTATAGATATGTGCCACTGCACCTGGCTAATAACAGGATTAAGAGAATTCTTACTTGATAATATTGTTTTGAGATCTGCCTGCTAAATGAATATTTCTCATTTTAAAAAATTTTTAAAAAAAAGATATTAAGTTTCTTTAATGCTTGTTTTTTATAACTCCAATTGAGAAATTTACTCACATCTGTGACACCACTCTTTGTGGTCCATCAATATGGAGGTTAGCCGGTCTCAAAATAAAAAAGTAAAAGGGCTGGGGATGTAGCTCAGTACAGAGGCCCTGGTTCAGTCCTCAGTACTGCAAAAACAAAACAATATGAAGCAAAGTAAAACAAAACAACAATGTCCGGGGTAGGATCACCACATTGGGAAGAATTCTAAGACTAGTAATTAGATAACTCAAAAATATATATCCTGGGAAATTACATACAGATCAAAATAAATCTCTATCACCACAAAAGGCAAAAATCATATGCTTTAATAATTAAAATAAAACCAAAATACAGTCTTCAAGTATTTGAGTGTTGTTTTTAGCAAAGATTTCAAACACCAAAGTGCAAAAGATGAGAATTAGGTATACTATACCTACCGAGAAAGACTACAAGAAATAGGCATGTCTCCACTCCAATCAATTGGTCCATTTTCTGCTTTCTGTACTCCAGATATTGCACCAGAAGGCTTTCCAGTAATTATTTTATACCTTGGGAAGAATAAAAGCAGAATAAGATAGGCAGTTCATTATTGCATGGCCTATTAATGGGCTTTGCAAAAGTATTTCCTCAATTGCACCTACAATTATCTACTAGACGAAACTTTGTGATTGATGGTCACAGGATCCATAAAACAATCAAAATACTTTGAATCTGACTGACTGAAGTAGAATAGTGGTTGTACAATTATTTTACATATGCCATAATTAATTTTCATTTGAGATCTCAGAGTGCCATTAACAGCATCTTGATGTTCACAACAAAAATATTAATTTTTCCATCTGAAAAATGGAGGAAACAAAAAACATTATGTCACAGAGTATCTTTAGACTATGAAAACAGCATCTAAACCCTTATTAGCCAAAAGTGTAGTCAACAGAACTATAAAATTACTGCAGAATAACAGCATTTCTTTAAAAAAAGATAAAACTATACATAACACAGTTCCAGAAAAATTCTTTCCATATTAAAACTATATCTACACATATAGGAATAGATTTATGTAGCAAATTATAAGGCAAACTTAATGTGATTCCTGATGAAGATATAAAAATAAAGATGAACTGAGGGTAGAGATAAATGGGGAGCCAAAGAATAGTACAATGTTGTAGCAAGTCAATGAAAGCAGCCCTTTAGATATTAGAATATTCCTAAATGAAACCTAAAAGTAGGAGAGAAATATGAGAGTGTCATGCTTTTAAGAATACTTTTACCCCGCCCCCTGCCTTGCAAGCGCGAGGACCCAAGTTTGATCCCTGGTACCAAAAAAAAAAGGATACTTTTACCCATCTGAAAATGTAAAACATAATACAACAGAATCTTATGTAAGCTTAGAGATATTATTTCTATAGGATTTTATATTGTTTAATACCTAAGTAAATATGATCTGAGGGAATCAATATATTTTCTTAAAAAATACAACCAACCAGTACAACTCATTAAGACCACTTGCTGTTTCTGCAGCAGAGGTACCATCAATTTCTGCCTTAAGATTTTTTTTTTCACTGGGGCCAGGGATTTAGCTCAGTGGTTTCCACTGCCTGCTACACAAGTGCAAGGACCTGAGTTCAAT